ATTCCTTGCTTGAGTTTTCTGCAATTCAGCCTCCAAACTTAGATACAATATGTGCTGCATTGTGCTCAAAACCAACACTGCAATTGGTGTCTGTGAGACGATGTGCAGAATCATTTTTTAAGTGAAAGGAATTACATTGACAGTATTACTTTCTTGTAGGGAATTTGATCTCAGACTCTCAAATAGAGCCATCCATGTGAAATTAAAGTGCACTTACAAATTAACCGAACACTACATTTTCTTCAACAGATAGTTCTGCCCTGAGGAAATGCAATTAAAAAAAAGAGTAGAAACCAGCAGAGAAAGTCATCTTACCGTCGACATTAACATGGTAAGCTAAATCTCCACATGCTTTAATTGGAGTAGTTTCATCATTAAAAATATACGGAAAATGTTCATTTTGGCCATCTCCACTCAACAGGCAATTTGATATATCTGCTCAAACAACCAAAATATTAGAAGACAATGCTTCTTTCAGGTATCACATGAACCAAAAACATAAAAACAAGCATGACTTACCAAGGTCAGCGTTATCTTCAAGACAATACTCATCACATCGCCAATCCCACATGTATCTATCAAAACAAACAGGATAGGATTGTTACTAAGTACTAACACACTAAAACTACAGACTAGCAACAGAACAAAAGTCAAGCGAAACTTAGAGCTCAAATTAAAAAATCAACAGAACATGAGGTTGTACACTATTGCCAGAATCCATTTGTGATTACACAAGGGGGAAAAAAGATCCGAAGAATCCACTTAAGCTACTGTAATATGGAACATGACGACATATTATGCACAATTTCTCCAGTATAGGTGCTGTTACTTCAGATCCACATTATAAATGAGTACCATGAACAACAAAATGGGTCCCTCAAAAGCAGTGGATCTACTTAGAACAAGGTAAACGACAAATAATCCAACCAATTCCAAAATCAATAGAAATGAAAACAATCACAATGACATGCACTTCAGCAATGAATCAAAGTAGAGTAGCACTTTTCCAGTCAAAACGTAGGATTAACAAAACTCTTTCTCTGTAAGTCTTGATAACTTACAAAACCCACAAAAGAAAATCAAAAATAAATTTCATAAAAGCAATAAGAGCCCAGGAAACATTAGCCACAACCCACCCTCTTCCCTTCCTACAATCAAACCATCAAAAACTAAGCAAGAACAAAAGGAAGCCACTAAAGATTGACCAAAAGTAAGCAAAACCCATCTCACATTTCCATCACTTCCACAATAAAACCCAAAGAAGCCATTACAAAGTCATCACTGTCCCACAAAATTTTATGATTCTTTGGAAGGACTGACCAAGGGAAAAAAAAAAAAAAAGCAAAAAATCAGTGAAACTAAAATGAGTCCACTAATCAAGATTGGATGATAAGAGCAAAAAAGTGAAACTTATTACAGAACTCACTCATCATTGTTGTAGTTCATTTGGGCTATCTTTTTGCTGTTGGTTTGCCTCAGAAATCAAGCCTGATACATCCACTGCTACCTCTTATGGGCAAAGCATTAAAACTAGCCGTTTTAATTAGATCGATGTTTCCGCATTCTACACACAACTCAAGAACGAACACTGAAAAGTATTAATGGTACAAAAGGAGTTTAAAAAATGAAAAGCTCAAAAGATGGTGAATAAATAAACCCTAAAAACAGAAATAATAGTAATGGTGATTGGTGACTTGAGAGTGGGGAGTGGCAGGTTTTTTGAGTTGGTTACTTAAATATTAGTGGTTGCGGTCGTGGGTCGGGTTATATACCCGCTCAATCCGATTTTGACGTTAATCCCGGCGAGTGGGCTTTCCTCTTATTGACTAGGCTTTTTTTTAAAATAAAAAAAAAATCTCTAGCTGGTTATTTGTAATTAAGTCCTCAAAATACGTGTATATGCTAATGAGAAATTCAACTTTTATCAATTTTTCTTACGACAAGAAGATATATTATTGTATTGCAGTCACTAAGCGCCTGGAGACCAAAGAGTTTGTACATCTGTACTAACGAGGATAAACTCTCCTGTGAACAGACATGGATGCTAAAGTAAAAGCAATGATCAAGCTCATGAAGAAGATGCAGATTCATTTGCAAGAAGGGCTGAAATGTACTACAAGAAAAGGCCTGAGCTGATGAAATTGGTTGAGGAGTTCTACAGAGCATACCGTGCTTTAGCAGAAAGATATGATCACTTGACTGGGGAGCTGCGGCATGCTCATCGAACCATGGCAGAAGCCTTTCCAAATCAATTGCCTTTTGTACTGGATGAAGAATCACCTTCAAGATCTTTGGAACATGAGAGGGAGCCTCATACACCAGATATCCTACATCCCCTTGTGCATTGACTGGCAAGATGAGTGAACCAAATTCTGGGGTGTCTAGTGCTGGTACTAGCAAAAGGGGATTGAAACAGCTATATGATGGGGCTGAGGAAACAGCCGAAGGAAGGTTGAGCAACACTCTGAACCATGAAGCAGAAAGTCAAAGTTTCCATGCTGAAGTATTGCAATTATCAAGTGAGAACGAGAATCTCAAAGCCAAGGCTCATTCTGAGTCTGAACGTGCACTTAAGGCAGAAAGGAAGTTGAAAGTTTGCAGTGGGCCCTTGCTGATATGAGAACTGAAAAGGATTCTGTCTTTGTTCAGTATCAACTCTGTCAGGAGAGGTTAACTAATCTTGAAGCAGCGCTCCTTCATGCACAGAAAGACTCCCAAAGGTTCAGTGACCAGGCAATCCAGGCAGAAACTGAAGTTCAGACATTGAAGGAAGCCCTTTGCAGGGTAGAAATTGATAAGGAAGCTGCGCTAATGAAGCACAAGAAGTCTATCGAAATGATTTCTAATCTGGAAGGAATGGTATCTCATGCTCAAGAGGATCTAGAACGACTCAACAAGAGAGCCACCAAAGCAGAAAATGAAGCTCAACATCTGAATCGTGAAATTTCAAGATTGGAATCTGAAAAGGAAGCTGGCTTTCGGAAATACAATGACTGTTTGGAAAAGATTTCTCATTTGGAAAACAAAATCTCATTGGCAGAGGAGGATGCCAGGCTGTTAAAAGACCAGGCTGAACAAGCTGATATTGAAGTCAAAAGACTGAAAAAAGCTCTTGCTGAACTGAATGAGGAGAAGGAATCTTCAGCTCTAAAGTACCAACAGTACCTAAAGAGAATATCTGAACTTGAAAATGAATTATCTTCTGCCCAAGAGGATATTAAGCGTCTTAACACTGAGATGCTGACAGGCACTATGAAACTCAAGCATTCCGAGGAGAAGTGCAATCTGTTAGAGCTGTCAAATCACTCGTTACGTCTAGAGGCAGAAAACTTGATAAAGAAGATTGCAAGGAAAGATCAAGAGCTTTCCGAGAAGAAAGCGGAGTTGGAGAAGCTCCAGGTTTGTGTACAAGACGAGCACCTGCGGTATGCCCAGATAGAAGCCATGTTTCAGAGTTTGCAGACTAATCACTTTCAGTCTCAAGAAGAGCATAAAGCTCTTGCACAAGAACTCAAAACTAGCCTTCAGATGTTGAAAGACTTGGAGGTACGCAAGCATGATTTGGAACATGAACTTGAGCAAGTTAAGGATGAAAACTGTAGCTTAAGTGAACAGAAATTGTCCTCAGACATTTCAATCGAGAATCTGCAAAATGAAATCCTTTGCTTGAGAAAGATGAAGGAGAAACTTGAAGAGAATGTTGCACAACAAATTGGTCAAAGCAATAACCTTCAGAAAGAATATCATCTCTGAAAGAGGAAATTAAGGGCCTGAACAATCGATATGAAGCCTTAGTGAACCAATTGCAGGCAGTGGGTTTAGATCCATCTTGCATTGGGTCTTCAGTAAGGAACTTGCAGGATGAAAACTCAAGCCTGAGACAAATCTGTGAAATGGAGCGCAATGAGAAAGGTGCTCTTTCCAAGAAGTTGGAGAACATGGAGGAACTTACAAAGAAGAAAGATTTTTTTGAGAGCTCCTTGTCAGAGCTAAATGGAGAGCTTGAAACATCACGTGAAAAAGTCAGGGAAGTGCAAGAGACTTGTCAATTTCTCCGTGGAGAAAAATCCATTCTTATTTCTGAAAAGGCTGTTCTTCTATCTCAATTGCAAGGCTTGACTGAGAATATGCAGAAGATCCTGGAGAAAAATGCTGTTCTCGAGAATTCTCTGTCTGGTGCAAAAATTGAGCTTGAAGGCTTGAGAGAAAAGTCAAAGGGCTTGGAAGAGATCTGCCAATTACTCAAGGATGAAAAGTCCCATCTTCTGAATGAAAGAGGTACCCTTGTTCTTCAGTTGGCAAATATTGAACGCCGACTAGAGTACCTGGAGAAAAGATTCTCAGGATTGGAAGAGAAGTGTGCTTATCTGGAGAAGGAGAAAGAATCCATGCACTCTGAAGTGGAAGAACTAAGGATCTCTCTAGGTGTTGAGAAGCATGAAAGAACAAGCTCTACACTTCAAAGTGAGACTCGATTAGTTAGTCTGGAACACCACATTCATTTGTTGCAGGAAGAAAGTAGGTGGAGGAAGAAAGAATTTGAAGATGAAATTGATAAAGCAGTAAAAGCCCAATTTGATTTTCATCTTGCAAAAATTTGTACAGGATATGGAGCAGAAAAATTACTCTCTATTGATAGAGTGTCAGAAACATGTTGAAGCATCCAAATTGGCTGAGAAGCTGATTTCAGAACTGGAGAGTGAAAATCTTGAGCAACAGGTGGAAGCAGAACTTTTGCTTGATGAAATTGAAAAACTAAGGTTAGGGATATATCGTGTGTTCAAGGCACTTGGAGCTAGTTCAGATACTCTCTTTGAAGACAAGGTTGAAAATGAGCAAGTCTTTGTACATCACATTTTAGGAAATATTGAGGATATGAAGCAATCTCTCTTGCAGTCCAACGATAGCAAGCTGTCGCTATTGGTTGAAAACTCTGTTCTTCTCACTCTACTAAGGCAGCTGAATGCAGAAGGCACAGAAATTGAGTCAAAGAAGGAATTCTTAGAGCAGGAGCTGGCTGCAACCAAAGATAAGCTTCTTATCACTCAAAATGAGAAGCATGGACTTCTTGAGATGAACAGGCTGTTTAAATCACAGGTAAGTGAACAAAACAAACAAGTTATGTTTCTTGAGGAGGAATTGGAGAATCTTGGTGTTAAGCAAAGTGAAATGGTGAATGCCTACATGAATTTACAGGAGAGATTCTCTGTTGTGCTTGAAGAAAACAGATATCTGTCAAGAAAATTTTCAGAACTTAAGATGGAGAAATGCGTGTTGGAGCAGGAAAGTGATGTTCTTCTTCAGGAATCATTGGCTTTTTCAAACTTTTCTATAGTTTTGGAAAGCTATGGAATTGAGAAATCTTTAGAACTAAAATTACTGTCAGAAGATGTGGAAAATCTGAGTGGGGTTATGGATGGCCTTAATAAGGAGGTCAGCTATTGCAAGGGAAGTTGGAGTTGGAAGAAACAAATAATATGTTGCTGAGAGATTCAGTTCAGAGGTTGGAGATGGAACTGCATACAGTGAGACAGTCAAATGATGAGTTGAAGCAGGAAATTGTAAGTGTTAAGGAAGTCTTGAGTCAGAAAGAAGCTGATATTTTGGAAGCAGAAGAGAAGCTTCAAGCAGCGGAAAGCCTAAATTTGGAATTGTGCAAAACCGTGGACACACTGAAGACTGAGAGTCAAGAATCATCTTACATCAAAGAAAATCTGGAAAAGAACCTGCTTAAATTATCTGAAGACAACAGCATGCAGGGCAAGGAAATTGAAGGCCTCCGTGAAGTGAATGAGAACTTGACATCTGAACTGTGTAAACTGCATGAAAAATGCGAAGAGCAAAGGCTCAGAGAAGAGAAGTTGAGTTCAGAGCTGAAAGTTAAAAATGACGAGTATGAACTTTGGGAGGCTGAGGCTGCAGCATTTTACTTTGACCTTCAAATCTCATCCATTAGGGGAGCTCTATATGAGAACAAAGTGCAGGAGCTTGCTGAGGTTTGTGAAAGTCTCGAGGATCATTCTACTTCAAAAACTCTAGAAATTGAAGAAATGAAGGAAAATATCAGGTCCATGGAGAATGCAATAGGCGAACTAACTGCACAGTTGTCAGCATATGACCCTGTCATAGCTTCTCTGAGAGATGATGTGGCATCTCTGGAATATAATGTTTTGCATCAGACAAAGCTTGCTAAAGCTGATCATTTGGAACCAAAGGTACTGACACTGAACGCTTTCCTGCTGTTATTTGTTTAGGGCAAGGTGGGAGGAAGGGATTCTGAAAAGGTATATGCTTCTTGTTAGGAAATTAATTTGGGAGCCTACCACTACAATGTGGCTGCTTCAGGTGGAAATTTCAGTAAACGTAAATGAAATGCTTTTGATTTTCTTAGCAATGACAGGGGAACTATGGGTTTGTTGGAAGTGTCTTTGACTGCAAATTTTTTTTTTTTTTTTGTTTGGAAAGGAGTTTTTGGGGTGGGGGGTGTGGAGACGAAGCTTTTTTGACCTCGGAAGTTGGAACTCTAATGGTACATGTTCTGCAACGGATTTTTCTGTTTCCCTCAAGAATCTTGTAACTTGCTTTGAGTAATATTTATATTATACTTTTGCTGAAACATAATCTTTTAATTACATTCACTTTTTTGCAGTGTACCAGATTGGGAGTACTTCCTGATGAAAGTTTCCATGATAAACCAATGGACCATCAATCACCCATGCCAGTTGGCATTCAAGATTTACAGAAGCTGCAGTGTAGGATTAAGGCAGTTGAGAAGGTAATGGTAGAAGAGATGGAGAACCTTATTTTACAGGAAAGCTTAAACACACAGGCGAAGCAAGAAAGAGTTATGAATGAGACAAATGACTTGAACCTCGACTCAGCTTCGGTCAGGAAAAAGTCAAGAAGAAGGAAAAGAAGAAGGTGTCTGGGAGGAATCTCAAGTTGCAGGAAGATAAGGGAGGGCATTGAAATCAAGAAGGGAGCTTTAATGAAAGATATTCCGCTGGATCATGTCTCAAGTACTTCACTTCATGGATTCCGCAGGAAAGGAAATGTTTGCACAGAGAGAACAGACGATAAGTTCTTGAGCTGTGGGAAACTGCTGAGTGGCACATTCCGGATCGCACTGGAAGTGTATCCCAAATTTGGCCTTTGCAGCAAGTGAGGGGGACATAGTATATGATCAGTTTGAAAGTACAAGGCAGATGGCAGGATGCCCGTCTACTGGTTCTGAAGTGGAGAAGGAGTTGGGTGTTGATAAACTCGAGTTGTTAACAAACATACCATTTCAAATGAAGATGTCCACAACAGGATGATCCTTGAGAGACTTGCTTCTGATGCACAGAAGTTGACAAGTCTTCATCTGACGGTGCAGAACTTGAGGAGGAAATTGGACACAAACAAAAAGAGCCAAAAGATTAAAGATGTTGATCTGGAAACAGTCAAGGAACAGTTGCAAGAAGTCCAGGAGACGGTCATTCAGCTGGTGGATTTAAATGGCCAATTGATGAGAAATATTGAAGAGAATCCTTCTTGTTCAGGTGGAAAGTCTTCAGCAGAGTTGAAAGAGGATGAAGATGCCAGGAGAAAGGTGGTCTCGGAGCAGGCACGCAAAGGGTCTGAAAAGATTGGAAGGTTGCAATTGGAAGTGCAGAAACTCCAGTACGTCTGCTTAAACTGGAGGATGAAAAGAAAAGCAGAGGGAAAAGCCGATTTTCCAAGAGCAAAACAACCATTATTCTCAGGGACTTCATATACAGCGGGAGGAAGAACAGTGGACAGCGAAAGAAGTCTCCCCTTTGCGGATGTTTTAAGCCTTCAACCCCTTGTACTCCTAGATGTAATTCGATCCGCCGCATGTAATGCTAATAACTGTTTTGCCTTTTTCCTTTATCAGTCTCTGCAATGGTTCTTAAATTATGTGACGGACTATTTCTAGAAGCAGTTTTAGAAGACTGATCTGCTTAGAACTAGAGGAACTGCAGAATTAGATTTGATCTAATTCAAATAATGCTGGCAGATAACAGCCCTCTATCTATTATCTGTATCTTTAGTGCTATGTAATTCATCAGAAAATTTGCTGAGATTCACTGTATGCCTCTCCATGCATAATGCACATTTGGTCAACTTCGCCGTATGAATGGTCTTCTTAATTCCTGAAATTATGGAGAATCAGACGGCCTTGTACCAAAGATATACTACAGCATGTTAGGAGCACAAAGAGGATTATCTGTACCATTTCTGGTCCGAGAGCAAGGTCCTTCTGATCAGCATGCATTCCAAGAACTGAGTCGTAAATCGTGACAATTATTTTTCTTTGTTCAGTTCGGATACTTAATTTATCCTTTGCACCCGTCTTCTCTAAATTGTATATCTCATCATTGCTTTTTCTGGGATGAACAATTTTGCAGGCTCAAAAAATCACACTGCGGAAGCATATTTAATTATATTTGATTACACGTATTGATTAGACGTATGCAAAACACATGGAGGAGAAGTTTTCAGTAATCACTCAAAAATTATGTACTTTACAATTACCAAGACTTTTCATTAGTCTGTTTCAATTTTTTCCTCACTCTTATATATACAAATATGAAAGTAGAGATGCAAACTTCATAACAAAGAAACTTGTGCATTAAGACGTGTGAACTGACTTGGATGACAACATATAAGCTCTGCAACACATTAACCATGTAATAGATTCATAGTCGCCACAATTTTGAAACACTTTGAGTTTTAAGCAAATTTACTAGCCAAACGATTGAGTACTGATCGCAAATGACTGTTAACTGACTAATTGAACAAACTAGTCTGGTTTAGACTTTAATTAGAACATCTTAGCAACTTTGTTGCACATGCCAAATCACAAGCTGAATGGTGTATTGTCATCTTGGAGACATGCATATTAATTGATGATGCAGCGAAAAGCAACCGTAACCATCTGATTAAGTATTCTTTTCACCGTAACCATCTGCAATTAAGTATTCTTTTGTTGATACGATAAATTCCTACACTAGGAGGAGGGGAGGACCTGAAGAGGCCCAAGGATAATCCGGAGGAGACTGAACCACCACTGAATCAGACGGGTGCGTAGTGCAACCGTTTGGATTTTTTAAGCAAAGCCACTTTTTAATGTGGCGAATTAGTAGGAGGCAAGGTCCAAACTTTAATGCATTGGTGGTAGCCACCAACCCAAAGGCTGGTGGTTGGGATTTAATTTAATCGGTTTCACTAGCAATAACGCAAATATTCAAACTATTCTTTTTTTTTTTAAATTAGCAAACGTTCTAAGGATCTTTCTTTGATTTACTTATTATTTATAAATTTTGTTGGGTATGATTTTGACTAAATCTACAAATAAATGCATAATCAATACTTCTAATTTCTAAAGTACGCTCATGATTATTTGACGATAATTTGGCATCATTGTACTATCAGAGTCCACGACAATAATCCACAATTTACATTCATTTCTTTGAAATTTCATTAAAAATAAGAAATGATTTCGTTACAACTTACAAGCCTAGGGAAACGAAGTCCCCTAAAATCATCTTCCAACTAGGTAAGAGGGTTGGGGGTAGAGAACTAAACAATACAAAAGATTCATTAAGCTCCACGCTAGGCTATTTGTTGTGGTACACGAAACTCATGATTCATTGTCTTGATAGTAGCTCTTTGTACTTCCACTAGAATACTCCGTGGAAATTGATCAAAATACTGCTTACTTTCGGAAGGAGAGTATAATGACACAACGGTAATTATCTAATCTACTTCTATTCTTACTTTATGTGGAGGAAAAACCTTTTTCCTAGTCTCCTTTCTGAATAAAAGGTATTATACGTGTTGTATGTTGCACCAAATGGAATTATGCTTTTTGTATATTGCACTAAGTCGAATTTGAACTCCAACCTAAGAGGAGAGCTTTAATCCGCTCTCCCAGCACCATCAAGTACTAATGTATGGCAAATTTGGATGGAAACTACTCTTAAATTGGAACTTTCCAAACGCTGTTGGTTTATAGAATTTCTATCCTCTCTCCTACTTGGATTTGGAGATGGACTCTATCCCAGCAGCAACTAGCAAGTACTAATACATTGCAAAATTGGGAACTAACCGTTAAATTGGACTTTCCCAACGCAATTGGTTTACGCGTGTCATTCTATGATATCGTTCCGCCCCCTATCGATTCCTTCAGACATCTTATACTTGTTAGCAGTACCTTCAACGTTCAGACACTTGAAAAGGTAAAAATACTTCATGAACAAGTGTTGGTCGAATAATTATCGCATCAACCCCGGTACCGAAATTCAGTTCGCATGCTGTTTGTTAGCTTGTACTGCAGGCTGTAGTTTAAGAAAGAAACCCATTCCGTGTCAGGCCCTTCATAAACCCCACTCCCCCGGGGAAATCAGGCCTTGTTTGATGGCTGGTGAGAAAACTTCAACATGATATTGCACGTGAACGACTAATTCGTAATAAACTTGCAGCGCCAATCGATTCAATAACATATGAGAGAGAAATTAATTGAAACAAAACTTCATTTAATTAAGGCCAAAACCATCAATGTCCTCACCTAACAAGGCAAAATTGCTTTCCTAATCCTTCATCCAACAACAAAATATGAGGCTGAACAACATATACTTGTCCAAAAAGAACAGAACCAAAATGACCAGTAAAAAAAGACACGAGAAGATTTTCAAGCCCCAACAACTTCAGTTGCCTCAGCAACTGGTTCCTCAGCAGGCCTGTCCACCTTCACACCAACATCCTCAGAATAATCACCATGTACCTACAAAGACAGGCAGATAGTTTTAGGTACACAACAGTTTTCCAAATCATGCTTCTGTTTTCCTTTCTATGACAAAGTAAGCTTCACAATGCAACAGCTAATTTGTCCCCGGCATGAGCAGGGATTCATGTCAAAGGAAAAGCACCAAATTTGCAGTTCATTTTTCCTAAGATTGCTACTTGATACAGAATGACAATACAATACATAGAAGTAACATACCTCCATCAACTTGCCGAGATCAAATTTAGGAGCTTTCAAGATCTTAGCTTTCCTAATAAACACATTCTGAAGTGGGTAAATGCTAGAGGTTGCCTTCTCAATCTCTCTGCCAATTAATTCAGGAATAAACTTCAGGACCAAATCCTTCAAAATCACAAGACTGTGCCTGGTTTACCATGATTTCACGCATCTTCCGACGAATCTAACAGAGGAAAAGCAAACACGTCACTCGCCCAAAGAGGTAGGCAAACAAAAAGACAAGACAGCAAGAACTAACACAGGAATAATACTGCCTTATGTTAATTAACACTGCCACATACTTAAACATCAGACAAGAAAATTGGTGTTCAATTCTTGCTCATTTAACATAAAAGTGCTGCATTTTCATACATTTAAAGTAAACCTGTACAGTTCGATAATGAGAAAAATTTAGAAGACAGTAGCAAAAGAAAAGACATGATTATAGCAAACTTACCTGCCGTATCTGACTTGATTGAGCATAACAAGTCCTCTTCTGCTGGTTTAAACGCTTCTTGGTAAAGCCAATGCAGAATAACCTCAGACTATAGTTATCAGTTGTCTTAACATCAACATGAGCCTCAATCAAGGATTGCCATTTCCTCACAAGGGACCTCAACTTATCAGTAGTAAAATTCATTCCCTGCAATGTTACCCCAATCACAAAGCATGAAAAAGAAATCCAGGCAATTATAGTAAGGTATACAAAATAGATAATACACTTCATACCCAGAAGTTTGTCAGGACATTTTTGCCCTGAACATCCTCAGCTCTCAATCTAATTTTTCTGAAGGCATGCTCCTCATCACCCTGAAGATCAGCTAGGGATACCTCAAACACACGATGCTTGAGTCCCTCAGAAGCAATCTGAAACAGTAAAAAAAAATCAGTTAACAAGCAGTCCATGTTGTTCATTAAGAAGCTGTTGCAAGAATTATGAACATCAAAAAACCAACGGGACAATAACTTGAGAGTCTTGTTTGGTACGTGAAGGCATCATTGCTTGAAAGGTAGCACAAAGTTACTTGAAGGTAACACAAGAACAACCAACTCAATTGACGAAGTAAATCACAAGAAGGGGAAAAAGGTAGGGTGAGCATGACAGTTAAAGGCACAGTCATTCAGAGGGTAACATGAACAACCCCCTTACTTGAAATCACAAGACAAGGAACAAAAAGTGGAAATTGAACTTAAATACAGAGTCTCTACAAACACTACTAATACCAAGTCCAGAACTGCCAAAATCACCCAAAAAAGTATTGACCTGCGCATTAATTTAGCCAACTTTAGTCCAGCCTAAGTAATACATTTGTATCTCCCCAATGACCAGATGAACCCTAAATGTACATTTCTGCTCATTTATGACAACTTGATACACTTGATCCGAATGAAAGAAGTCTAGAATTATCCCATACTCGAAAAGGAAGAACACAAAAAAAAATACACTTTTTCTCAGCAAAATTACACATGCATTTGCAGACTACACAGCCACATATCTTAACAATACAAGAACTGAATTCTGAGCGCTAATACACATACGCAGGGAGGAAAAGTGTGAGACACTACGTGAAAATTGAGATTACCTTTGTACCCTGGGTACGGGACACAAGGGTTTTGCCAACGTTTCGGACAGAAAAAAGAGGGAGCCTTGATATCATACCAATCCTTCTTTGCAAATGGATCAGCTCTACACATCCACATATAAATTCCAATCAGAAATCAAACCTTTTCCTAATTAAATTTCCAGGACCAAAAATTAGAAGGCAAACAAGAAACCCAAAAAGAAAACAGAGAGAAAGAACTCACGCTTTCTTCTTTCCTCCCTTCTTCCCTTGGAAATCCTCTTGTTCTTACTGCATTCAGTCCATAAAATGCGGCAATTAAAAGATGAATATATGAATAAAAGCACATATTTTTCTACATAATCAGATTAATAAGTGGAGAAGAGAAGAGAAAGTACCCAACGGCCATGGTGGAGCTCCGGAGCTGCGGCGACGACAGAGAACAAGTAGAGTGACAGCTCAACGACTGCTAAGAAGGAGGAAACCCTAAATATACAAAACCCTAGCTTTTCTAAACTACGCTTGTTATATAGGTATGGAAATTAT